GGATGGGTTCCTGCCCTGCCCCTCCCCACGAGCTGCCTGCTCCTGCCACCCCACACACACCTGGCTGTGACCTCGGGCGCTCCCAGGATGGGGCTGCCCAGCTTTGTGAGCTGAGAGGTCAGCGAGGAAGGCACCAGGGTGGAAGAACTGCTGCTTGGGATGGGGATGGAAAAACCTGATGTCTCTGGTGTTGGCAGTGGGAAACAGGCACAGCTTTTCCAGGCAGAACAAATGCCTCTGGAGCTGTGGTGGGAGGGACATGGCACATCATGCTGTGCTTTCATCAGTGAGTGCCCTGAATTGAAGTGGCCGTGGTGGGAGGCCCCATTTGGTCTGTTCAAAAAACAAAAAAAGGGTTAAAATGAGGGAATAAATGCTAATAGATGAAGCTTCTTCCTCTGAGCCTAGTGTGTTAACTCTGACCAATTTGGACCCTCTCTGGGAGCTCTGGCCTGAGTTACTGCCAGGCTGAACCACAAAGCATCACCCCAGAATGAACCTTCAAAGCACCAATTCCCTGAGTTTCTGGCCGTATTGGGTCCTTGTTCAGTGCAGGGAAGGGCAATAGCCAAGCTGGCAGATGTGCCCGCAGATGTGCTGTGGCAACTGGCACCAACACCCTCCAAAAGGCTCAACCTCTTCCTTACCTGCCCTCAGCCCACACCTGGCACCCTGGAAACGCAGGGAAAGGATTGTCAGGCTAAGCTGGGGCTGTGGTTGCCATGCTCTAATCAGCATCAGCCTGAAAATACATCTGCTCCAGACAAATGTCCAGGTCTCTGGGTGTCCCATCCCTATGATTTCACTCATGCCATGCAGGCAGCTCTGTCCAGCCCCCCCATTGCCCATGGGCATGGTCAGAGGGGCAGCAGCTCATCTCTGCCTGTTCTTACCTGTGAGCCCTGTGCTGTCCACACCGCACCCATCCGAGGCTCAGACAAGGTGGGATGCTGCTGGGAAAGGCCCTCAGGCTCCTAGAGCTTCCCAGCACTGTTTCATTTTTCCAGTCACCCAGGGAAGCAGGAGAGGGCGTTGCAGCTCTCAGCTGAGCAAATGCTGCTTTGCAAGGAAGTTAAAAAGCAAGTCCACGGATCTTGAAAGTCTTGAGAGCCTTTCCTACTGAAAGCTCTGGGAATGGTCACAATGATAGAATCACAGACTGATTTGGGTTGGAAGGGACCTTAAAGTTCATCCAGTTCCACCCCCTGCCATGTGCAGGGACACCTTCCACTAGCCCAGGTTTCTCTGAGCCCCATCCATCCTGGCCCTGGTTGGATTCTGGTTGGTTGGTCCTTAAGAGGGATGTGTCACCCCTAGAGCAGCACTGGGGCAGCTGTCAGTGGGAACAGACCCACAGTATAAGTTGGTACAAGCAAAGCTCTGAACTTCCCCAGGCCAAGGAGCAAACAAACAAGTGTGAATGGCACAATGAGGGCTGTGTCTGCTGGCACAATGCAGAATTGCCATGTATTATTTTCACGTTGCCAATAAATAATTGCCTTTATGTAGAACAAGAAAAGTCACAACGATATTCAGTGCTGCTGGAGATGTAAAACTAATCCTTAAAAAGGCACTTAAGGCTGCAGGAGGCCACTGTGTCCTTACCTCCTCTCCCTTGCCAGCTGCTCTCAGCTTTCCCAGATGCTTTCTGGGATGACAATTGCAAAGCTTAGTCTGAACTCCAGACAAATCTGTTTGTAAAACAGTTTTTAAAAGGCTGCAACAACTGTAGAGTAGTTACATGAAGGTCTTTCAAAATGGAGAAAGGTGAGACAGAAATTATGGATAAAACTCCCCTGGGTTTGACAAAACAGTCGTTTCAATTTTGCAGCTAAACTTAGTGTGAAAATCAAGAGGATTTAGAGTCTGACCTGGCGGCACTGGGAAAACAGAGGTCCCTGGTCACAGCTGGGTCCACCAGCTGCACACTGAGGAGTGTGCAGAGATGTGCCAGTTGAGCTGCTGCTCTCAGGGTCAGCACAGACCCTGCCAGTGCTGCTGGTGACAGCACTGGTCACTGGTACCACTGCCCCAAAGTCAGCACCACCTCCCTAGGCTGGGGAGCAAGCACTGCCTGCAGCTGCCCCTGGGCTGGGCAGGGGTACTCAGGGCTGGGGACTGCCACAGCAAACAGGGACAGCAGAGGGAGAGGAGCCCCACTACAGTGCCACACTACCACCCAGGGCAGGCTGGGCAGACAGGCAGGAGACACCACATCGTGCTGACACCTCTGACCCCACAGGCAGGGTCAGCAGGTAGTACCAGACCTACCTGGTGCCGACTATCCAGCTGCCCATGGGAGCCGTAGGGGTGGCAACAAGGGTGCAGGTGTCTTGGTGCCTTCTCATCTCCTTCATCCCCACTCACTGCCCAGGATGCCAATCCCCTCCATCCCCAGCTGGGGATGGGCAGTGGCTGGAGGGAGGTGGCTGGCAGGGCACTGCCAGGCTGCAGCACAGGTGGAGAGCAAGCCAGAGCAGGGGGCTGATCACAGACATCTCTCATTGTTCTCCCTGCCCTGGCCAGTGCCACCCACTGCCACGCTGCAGCTCATTATGGCACAGCATGGGCCACGCGCACGTCTGCAGCTCGAGCCATCCTGTGCTCTGAACATGGGTACAGAGTTGGAGAGAAAACAGGAGGAGAACCTTAAAATCAAATGGGTTTGTATTTAGCAAACTGATTATTTATTTTCCTGCGCTATGGACACCTCTGCCCCCGTCAAAGCCAAGATGTTAAATTTTCACGGCGTATTATAAATCATATACAAAAAGGAGGAAAGCAGTGACCTTGTGTTGTGTGAAGAGACAGGTCGTGGGGGAACAAAACCAAACCAAACCTGGAGCGAAGGCTCAGCACGTTCCCCCTCAGTTCATAAGTGCATCATGGATTCAAACTCATCGATGCGCTGTTTGGTGTTTCCTTTCCGGATCCTCCGGTAGGAGATTGTGTTGTATCTGGAGTAGCTGTGTCTGGAGATGTCATTCTTTTTCCCCAGGCTGGGCTGCTCCCCCGGTTTCTCCAGGGGGGAGTTGCAGCCAGGGCTGGCCGGCGGAGTTGGCTCCTTGCCGCTGTCTCGCTGCAGCAGACGGGACACCTCGCTGTTCTCCTTCTTGATTTCAATCACCTGGACCTCGTCCTCTTCGGTGTCCACCTCCTCCCCCTCCTCCTCCTCCTCCT